TTTTAAAAATATAGTTTTATATAATTTTTTGTATCTAACATGATAACTAATAGAGTTATTTTGTAATTTGATATGGAATATCTCTGAAGCCATTCTCTTAAAAAAAGAAATTCTCCGTGTATAAAATTGTATGGACATATTCGGCATATAAAATTTGCATAATTAGATATAATTATTTTAATTTGTTGTGTATAGGTATATATATAAAAAATTTTTTACCGGGAACATGATATCTTCTTACATTAATCAATATTTTACAGCCCGTGACCGCTGCATATATGTTGAATCGAATACTATTTTGTTACTTCACCAACTTTTTTTTCTCACTGTAACAAAACGTACAAAAGAAAATATAAACGTTTACAAATTCGCGAGATAAACGAAGGGTAGAAAGGTTGTTGCGAGAAAAAAACTCGGAACGATTGTTCGTATCGTTGTTCGAAAAAAAAAAAATTATTTAACGGCCAATACGTACTCGCGACAATATAAACGCGACTACTTTACGACGTGATTGTGGATATTTGAATTAGAAAGAAAGGATGAGAGAAAAGGCGGACCCTCATTTGCATCTCTCGGTTGAATCAACTGCGCACCCCGTCGCACCTTCAGCGATTGACTAGCGATCATATGGATTCTGATTCATCTTTTTATTTATTTTTTTTTTTTCTCATTCGTCGTAAGGTCGTGATATGACGCATAAAATTTTATATCTCCGCGTATATACGTATTAACGCACGTGGCAATGAACTCGACGCAACATCTCAAGCATCGCGGTTATCACCGCGGTAATCCGGCGCTGATCGAATATACTCGAAATACGAGTTTAAAGTGGTAGAACTAACGAGAGAATCGAACGCGCTCGTTGAAAACACAACGTAGCTGTGTGTGTATGTGCGCGCGCGCGCGCGAAATTTCAATAAAATAATTAATGAGCAGGAGAGATCCGCTATACTTGAATTTGAATACTCGTCTCTAACTCTGCCAAAGACAGGATCTTTGTTCTCTTCGCGAATATTATCGGCTCTTCTCTGTCCCCGTCGATCTGTCGATCAAAGGATTACACTTGCCTTCGAATTTTTATTTGACATTTTCGCGTCCGCGCAACGGTACTGGTGTG